CACCTCCACGGGCACGCGGTGGCTGTGCACGGGGTCGATGATGCCGCCCGTGGCGATCTGGGCCTCCAGCAGGCGCAGGCCGTGGTCCCTGACGATGAGGTCCTTCTGCATGGCCTGGAACAGGGAGATCTGCTCGCCCGTGTAGGGGTCCTTATAGCCGGTGACGGCGCGCTCGGCAGACAGCAGCTTGTGGTGCAGCTCGGGGCCCACCAGGCCCTCTTTCACAGCCTCGTTGACGGTCAGCCGCCGGTTGCATACGGGGTCCAGCAGAAAGCCCGAAGCGGCCTGTGCCTCCAGCAGCACCAGGGCCGTGCCGGGACTCAACAGCCTCCTCTGCAGGGCGGCGTAGATGCTAAGCTTCTCATCAGAGGGCTTTAGGAGCAGCCCAGCAACGCTCCCCGTGCCCTGCAGGTAGTGGCGCACGTCCTCGCGCTGGGCCAGCTCGGCCACCGTGACACGGCCCTGCACCAGCCGCTGCAGCTCCTCCTGGCTCAGGATGCCGGCCTCCTGCAGCTGCTGCGCGGGCACCTTCTGCCGCAGGCCCTCGAAGGCGTGCCGCGGCTCCTCCTCCACGGCTGGGCCGTCCGGCGCATCCCGGCCGTTGGGCAGGGACTTGGTGGGTGTGGCCTGCAGAGCGCTGACCTCCTCCACACGGGCTACACGACGCTCTTCCTCCAGCCTCTCCAGCCGTTCTCGGAGCTTCCGGTTCTCCTCAGCCAGCAGCTGCTCCTGCTGCTGCCGCTGCTGCTCCAGAAGCTGCAGCTCCTCCTGCTTGCGCCGCACACCCTCCTCGGCCTCACGCTGCCGCCGCCGGGCCTCCTCCATGCTGGCCACCAGCTGCTGCTTCTCCTGCTCCATCTGCTGCTGCTGCCGCTGCTGCTCCGCCCGTAGCTGCTGGGCCTTGGCCACCTCGTCCTGGAAAAGCCGCTCCAGCTTGGCCTTCTCCTCCTCCACGAAGCGCTCACGCTGCAGCAAGCTGTCTCGCTCGGACACAAAGCTCTGCTGCAGGGCCTGCGTCTCCTGAAGCAGCTGCTCCTGCTGCACGGTCTGCATCTGAGGAAGAAGGGTGTCGGTCAGAGCTGTGCACCCGAGGGCTGTGCACAGGGAGCCCGTCCCTGCCTGTCCGCCCACTGCCCCCACCGCACATGGCTGGTACCTCCTCGGACTTGAGCTGCAGCAGCTGGGCCTCCTGCTTCAAGCGCTCCTTCTCACACTCCAGCTCAGCAATGGCTGCCCGCAGGCGCTCAGCATCCTGGTCACTCTGTTGCCGCTGGATCTCCAGGGTCTGCACGAGCGTCACCTTCTCCTGCGTGGCCAGCTCGGTGCGGTGCAGCTTCTCGCCAATCTCTTCCGCCTGCTTCCGGAAGCGCTGGGCATCGTCCTCAGCACGGGCCTGCGCCCGGCTCATCTCGGCCACACGCAGCTTGAGCCGCTCCGCCTCGGTGCTCATCTCCAGCTGCCGCTGCCTCTCAGCCTCCAGCGTCCGCTGAAAGCCCTGTGTCTCCTGCTCCAGCTGCTGAGCCATCTGTTCTTTGTCTTCTTGCAGCTGGCGGGCCTTCTCCTGTGCCAGCTCCTTTTGCTGCTGCAAGAGCTCGGCTTCAGCCTTGAGCCGCGTGGCCTCCTGCACCGCCTGCATCTTCTCCTTGAGCATCTTCTCCGCCAGGGCCCGCTGCTGGGCCAGGTCCTCCTCGGCCAGCTGCCGCAGCCGGGCTGCCTCCTGGGCCGCCACGCTCAGCCGGGCTGCCTCCTCGGCCACCTGCTTCATCTTCTCGGCCTCCTCCTCCAGGAAGCGCTGTGTGTTGTCCTTGTCCCGCAAGATGAGCGTGCGGTTCTCGGCTTCAATGCGCGCCTTGAGCTTGCTCAGCTCCTCCATCTGCACGCGCAGGGAGAAGAGTTCCTCCTCTACCTGGCTGCGCTGCCGGGCGGCCTCAGTCACCTCTGCCTTCAGCCGCTGCAGCTCCTCATCCAGGATGCCCTTCTGGTGGTCGGTCTCCTCCAGCTGGAGGCGCAGCGTCGTCAGCTCCTGCTCCACCTGCGCCTTCTGACGCAGCGTCTGCTCGGCGAACTTCTTGTGTTTCTCCATCTCGGCGTCAGCCGCCTGCTTCTGCCGCAGGGCTGCCTGCTCCGCCTGCGCCCTCTTGGCCGCCTCCTGCTCTGCTTCCTTGCGCAGCTTCTCCGCGGCTGCCTGAGCCTGAGCCCGGGCCTGAGCCTGCTCCTCGGCCGCCTGCTTCAGCCGCTCCGCCTCCTCCACCTGCCGACGCGACTGTGTCACCTCCCGCTCTGCGCGCTCCCGCGCCTCCTCTGCCTCCTCTGCCGCGCGCCGGGCCGCATCGGCCTCGCCACGCAAGCGCTCCATGATGCTCTGCTCCTGCTGCAGTGTCTGCTGCAGCTCCTGCTCCTTCTGCTCCACCGCGAACGCGTGAGCCTTCTCCTCCGCCTGCAGCCGCTTCTGCGCCGCCTCCTGCGCCAGCTGCAGCTGCCTTGCCGACTCCTGCTCTGCGCGCTCGCGCAGGCGCCGGGCCTCCTCCACCTTGGCCTTGAGCCGCTCCACCTCCTCGAGCGCCGCCTTGCGCTGCCGCGCCGCCTCCTCCTCCGCCACCAGGCTCTTCTGCACGCGCTCCTCGGCCTCGCGGCGCCGCTGCTCCTCCTCCGCGGCGAGCTGCCGCTGCCTCGTGGCCTCCAGCTCCATCTGCTCCTTGCTGCGCAGCGTGTCCTCGGCGCTGGCGCGGATGCGGCCCAGCTCCAGCTCCAGCTCCGCCTTGCCGGCAGCCGCCTTCTCAAAGCTCATCTTCAGCGCCTGGATCTCCTCCTCCACCTGGCGCCGCTGCCGCAGCGTGTCCTCCACCAGCCCCTTCTGCCGCTCCAACTCACTCTCCGAGGCCTTGCGCAACTGAGCCAGCCGCTCCTCGATGTCAGCCTTGTGCTGAGCAGCCTGTTCCTCCAGTCGCCGCCGCTGGAAGGCCTCGTCCTCCGCCAGGCGCCGCAGCCGTTCGTTCTCCGCCTCCTTCTCCTTGAGTGCAATCTCTGCCTCTGTCTTAAGACGTGTGGCCTCGCCAATGGCGGCCAGCTTCTCTGCCAGCACGCGCTCAGCCTCCGCCCTCTGCTGAGCCGCGTCCTCCTCGGCCAACTGCCGCTGCCGTTTGGCCTCCTCTGCCAGGGCCCGCAGGCGGGCGGCCTCCTCTGCCAGCTCGCGGAAGCGGCTGGCCTCAGCCTCCAGCCTCTGCTTGGACTTCTCGCTGGTGGAGCGCGACTCCTCCTCGGCCCGCGCCTTGCTGGACAGCAGCACTTCCATCTCAGCTCGCACCTTCGCCAACTCGGCCTCCAGTTCCTGGTGTTTCTGTGAGGCTGCAGTGACCTCGCGATGCAGCCTGGCCAGTTCCTCCTCCAGCACCTGGCGTTGCTGCTCACCCTGCTCGGTCTCAGCCCGCAGCCGAATCAGCTCCTGCTCAGCCACCAGGCGCTGCTGTGCGGTGCCCTCTGCCAGCTGCCGCTGCCGCTCTAGCTCCTGTTCCGCCAGTGCCCGCTGCCGCACGGCCTGCTCCTCCGCTTTGCCACGCCGCCGGGCCTCGCGTTCTGCCTCCTCCTTCTGCTTCTCGGCTTCAGCCTGCGCCAGGCTCTTCTGCTGCGCCACCTCCTCTGCCTGCAGCCGCAGCCGCAGCGCCTCGTTGGCCTTGAGCTGCCAGCGTTCCAGCTCTCGCTCGGCTTCCTCTCGGGCGCGCTCTGCCTCCGCCTGTTGCTGTGCCCGCCGCTCGGCCTCCTCTCGAAGCTGGGTCACTGTCACATGCTCCTCCTGTAGTGTGCGCTCCAGCTGAGCGGTCTTCTCTGCAAAGGAAGCACGCTTGCTCTGCAGCTCGACCTCAGCACTGCGCTGCGCAGACTCCAGGGCCACCTGCACCTGGCGTGCCCGCTCGGCCTCGGCCTGCCGCAGCCGCCGCTCCGCCTCCTCGGCCTGCAGCTTCAGTTCCTCCAGCGCCTTGAGGGCCCGCTGTTTCTCCCGAGACGCCTCTGCTTCAGCCTTCACGCGCAGACCCAGTTCGGCTTCCGCCTGCCGCTTTCGCTGGCTCTCCTCCTGCACCTGCCGTCTCAGGCGCTCAGCCTCCTCCTGCGCCTGGCGCTTCTGAGCCTCCGCCTCTTCTGCCCGAGCGCGCAGGGCCTGCAGCTCGCCCTCTGCCCCGCCACGCTGGCGCTCGGTGGTCTCCAGCTGCAAGCGCACCACGCGGATCTCTTCCTCGATGCGCAGACGGCTGCGCTCCGCAGCCTCCACCTGGTGGGCCTTGGCCTGAATCTCGGCCTCTGCGCTCTCCCGCACGTGCTGCAGTTCCTCCTGGATACTGTGCTTCTGCCGCTGCGCGTCCACGGCGGCCTCCTCGCGCCGAGCCACCTCTTCCTGCATGCGGCGCTGCAGTTCCTGCGCTTCCCGCTCCGCCTGAGCCTTGGCCTGTGCGTGGGCCTCCGCCAGCTGCCGCTGCTTCTCCAGCTCAGCCTCCACCTCGGCCAGCCGCTCCCGCTCCTCTGCCCGCTGCTGCTCTGCCAGCCGCTGTGGCCGCGGCACAGAGAGGAAGAGACCAGAGAGAGCAGTGAGCCGGCTGCTGCGCCCTGGGTACCACCACAGCTCACCAGGGACAGTGCAAGCAGGACGCGTGCACCCACCCAGGGCTCTGGGGCAGCGAGCGCAGCCTGGCCACGTGCTCATCAGCCTGGCGAGAGAGACTCAGGAGAACTTCCCTCTTCCCCAGAGGCAGGTGATGAGGCAGACGGACAGATGGGAGAGAGAGAGAGCACAAAGCAGCCAATTCACAGGGCCTGTGAGCTGCCTGCCCAAGCCCACTGGACACTCAGATCTGCCTCTGGTCAAGAGGCTCCACCCTGACACGAGCCATTCACAGCATCCGGGTGGTCAGAGGGGACAGAGCCACCGAGCCAGTTCCAAAGAGGCCCTGTGAGCCCAGAGAATGCAGAGCCAACCAGGCCATAAAGTGGGGCCACCAAGAGACACGAGGAGGCAGGACAGATGGACACTGCCCCACAGGCGCACCTGGACAATTCTCCCAGCCCAGCCTTGAGCATAATTAGAGCACCGATTCCAAATCCCGTGAGAGAACGTGCAGGAGAGGAGGACACCAGGGACGGGCGGAGACAGACCAGCCGCCACCAAGCTCCGCCACCAAGCTCCACCACAGGGAGGGAAGGCAGTTTTGTGACAGCAGAGGGTCAGCCAGGACATGGTGCACTGAGTGCGGAGGCCAGGGTGATGTGCCGCATGGTCCACCGTGGGATGCGCTGGCCTCTGGGGCAGGTGGGCAGGCAGGCAGCAGGAAGGAACCCTCCGCAGCCCTCCCTCCCACATACCTCCTCTTCCTCCATGCGACGCAGAGTCTCACTGATGAACTTGATGTACTGGCTTGTGAGTGTAGTCAGCTCGCTGTAGCGTGTGCGCAGGTCCACGTACTGGGACAGGAAGGGCCACGGTCATTCCCACAAAGCCATACCCACCCACCCCCAACTCCACCCCTCTGTCCCACACCTGCCACGCAAGGCCTCTGACTCACCTCCTGGATGACACTCTCTGAACCGGACTGGACCTTGGGTTTCTTGGCTGGTGAGGCCACTGGCTCCAGCTGTGCCTTGTATGTGACCAGCTGGAGCTCATAATCCTGCAGGACATGTTGGGTCAGATGCCAGCCTGGGTCCAGTCCGTCTCCCCAGGATGCCAGGCTGGGCATAGGGACTGCTCACCTTGATGGCATTGATGTACTGCTTGGCGAACTTCTGACATTCCTCCACTTTCTCCCCATGCCGCTCGATCTCCTCCAGCAGTGCCTAAGAGGAGCTGGTCAGCAGTAGAAGGGAGCACCGGACCCAACAGCCCTGCTGGCCCCCTGAGAATCTTCTGGCTTCTCCCTATTACAGCCCCCGCTTCTGCTGCAGCCTGTCCTCTGTCGTGGTCCCACCCTCTCTCCTGCCCCTCTGCCCCCATCTGTCCCGCTCCCCGGCTGTGGTCCTGTCCCTCTGCCCCCCATCTGTCCCGCTCCCTGGCTGTGGTCCTGCCCCTATGCCCCCCATCTGTCCCGCTCCCCGGCTGTGGTCCTGCCCCTCTGCCCCACATCTGTCCCGCTCCCTGGCTGTGGTCCTGCCCCTATGCCCCCCATCTGTCCCGCTCCCTGGCTGTGGTCCTGCCCCT